CCCCCCCCTCCCCCATCGCCTTTCCCTCCCCTGTCTCCTAGGTATTGCATTCAAGACAGTGGGTTCGGTTGCTTACAGCAACCTGACTAACACAGAAACTACTTCCGCTCATAAAATAAGCGTTTCCTTCTCGATCTCAGTTCTTCATGACAAAGCTTCAATGGGCTTACTTAAACAACATTTCCGCTAACAATGCACCATAATAATACAAATAAACAGTACAGGATTTTCACTGTATTGAACAACTCGCATGTAAATGAAAGATTCCACTTTAGACTCACTCGTTCGAAAAAAAACGTATGTTTTGATAACAGTATTTATTATTCATTGGCAAAATTTTGGTTCCAAGTGCTTTTCCTTCTAACAGAGATGGTGTCTCGAGATAATGGATTATAACTGTCCAATTATAAACTAGCGGAAGATATTTTTATCACACATAACTGAAAGGACATCTTTCAGAGTAATTCTTGGAAGATTTACTTCAATTGTGGATTTGGGCTCACAGTGAGTGTTCGATGACGATTGTCTCCATTTACGACTTTAAGCCGTTTTATTAAAACCAATTTGTATTTTCTCTGAGCCAAAAAAAAATAAAATTTGCCGTAATTGTTGTCAAAAATAAAGGAGAGACAACATTTGTAATTTTTGACGCGAAAAGGTACGTCCTAGCTATGGATTACAAATACGTATATTTAAAACGTGAGGAAATTAAAATATCCCCCATATATACATGCAAATTGACTATAATTATTTATTCACATACCTAGATCTGTCACTAGACATTTTTGTTTTAAAAAGTTCATTAATCCTGGGTTTCTTTCTATGTGTAAAGGGATCTCCAAAAGCGCAATTTCAACGATTAAAAATTAACCTCCTTAGGGTTAAGGTAAAGTGCGAATTCGAAAAACCCCATTTCTTTAATTAAGACTGGAGGCATATTAACAGATAAAAAGCCACGGTTGTGAAAATAATCGTTCGCTAAAACGCGATTGAATTTAAATATTCGTTGTATAAACATCACTCTCAACTAAATGCTTATTTCATATATTCTTTCCTTATTTCTATCCATTTTTTTAAATTTACGATTGAGAGATGGGATGAAAGCTAAAACGTTGATCGAGCATCATTATAAGACAGCCCTGCGTGACTGTCCTTGTAACAACCCACTTTTTCTGTCATTTTACACAACACTCGTTGGGTATTGTTTCGCATATGGGAAAGAACCGCATGTCTGATTTCGAATGCAGTTTTCCACTACACCAAGTATTTATTTAAACAAACAATTTTTCGATTGACTCACCATCTCCAGCTCAGTCGCTTTGGTTGACAGCTCATTAAGAGAGCACAGACATCAATGCGGTGTCGATACGACTTTTAGAAATTTTGTCGTCCTCCAATTACTGAATGAAAGGAGATTGGACAGGAACCAAGCGCCCAGTTCGCGTTGCTATGATACCCAGTTGCTGGCAGAGGTTGCAAAATTCCTAATTGGAAAAAAGCCAATTACAAAAGAAGTCGACTGTTGATGTTTTGTGCATATATTAACATTATTTCAGACTTCAAAGGCACGCACATCCATTAAACATCCTCTTTTCAAGACAAGAAAAAAAATCTAGAGAATTCCTTCTTAATTTTTCGTGAGTTGCTTCACACTTAAAAATTTCTCCTCACAAAAGAACGAAAATTAAAATATTAAAAAATAAACAATACTTCTTAATCAGTAGCATTTTAACATAGTAAAAAACACCCCAACGAAGTTTCCAGATGTAATATCCATGCAAGAGAAGCAGTCCTTTAAAACAAAGGGATCTACTTACCTGTAGGTCAGATTTGCTCAAAATATTTATTAGTTATTTCCCTTACTGAAACCTCAGTTTAGCATCGTCAACAGTTCCGCTTACTGCAGCTGCTGCATCGGAAAAAACAATATGCATAGATTAGCATTAAAATGGAAATTCCCAACGCTTCGTTTTCTTTCAAAGTGGCATGAGATAAAATTGTTTTCAGGAGGGGGATGTTTCATCAGCGTCTAAGTAGATTTTAGGGGGATACTAGGATGTTCTATCATTACAAATTGTTATTTCTCATACCAAAGCGGGGCCATATTACACCTCACGACCTTCCCCTACTCCATTTCATAATCCGTACGTGCAATGGCAGGCCTGTATTCCTCTGGTTTTGAGACAATTACTAGCTGTATCCCAACTGAACAAAGATCGATCGTGGTTGAATTTCTTCCCGAGAATTCAGCTGTCCATACAATGGTTCAAGATTTGGCAATAAAAGCTGGCAATTGGCACGAAAATAACGTGACTATGGAAATCTAACATGAATTTTTTATTAGCAAAGGAAAATTCCCTCCATTCTGCACGTATTCGTCCATCATTTTAAAGGAGCTATATCAGAGTTTCTACATCTTTAAAAATTTAAATCGTCTTTTTTCCCTTTTCACCCTTACTCGTTCTTACTCTTGAATATGCGAAGGATTCGATATGCAAATTTCGTGCCGTTAGCATGGCCTTAGGAGTCTGGGGAGAGCAAGCACCTTATTCAAGACAGCGGTCCTATTGTAAAATTTAGGCAAGAAATCAGGATGAACTTTTGTGAAGATGATGGCGAATTTTGGACCAGATAAGTACCGTAGAATAGCCCATTAATCAGAATTTGAACTACTGACGATTCTCTCTTAAGAACTTGCTCGTTGAAGTTTATTTTGCAACCTCAGACTTGTGCCGACGAAATAAACAATTCTATTATATAGCAAGGTAGTCTTGAGGTAAATTTGAGCGTTCCGATTGGTTCTTTCTAAGAGAGTACTTTGCAATACTAACCGTTTCCACCGAAACAGTCATAAGTAGTGCATTTTTTTCGCGAAAGCTGGCAAATTCAAAATAAACAAGTTTGGTCCGAATGCAATGTAATAAACGACTTGCTAACCTCACTTGCTGGAGCAGTTTGGAGAATATTGGTCCTCGGTCGTTTTCGTATGGACCTCGTTGCATCCAAATCCTACTACATGGCTCCAGTAGAGCCCTCGCGCACGGGTAGTAAGAATTAATTTTCTGCACAGTATATCAACGAGTTCACGATTATGTAACTAAAAATGAACAGGTACGGAGAAAATCAATATATCTCAGGAATAACAGGAAAGGAAAGAGAAAAATAACTAGGAAAAGAAGAAAACAACCCATGATGACATGTATAAAACTCACTTTTCAAGGAAAAAAAATCATTTTAATTTTGGATTAAAAAAAAGGAATAAAAAACGATTACTTTGCGAAAGAGCAAATAAAGTTAGGATGCAACAATAAAATGATAAAAATAATAATGAAAGGTTTTGGAGAATAGTTTAAAAAAATGACATTTTGAAATGTTACAAAGAAACTTAGCAGTGCTAAATATTCCACTATGCCTGTTCCGCCGACTCAGGCTGATTTTTCAGTCGTTTAAGTTTTTCAGCGTGCGAAGCTGACGGTCGAGTGAAATGACTTCGAGTGATTTGTAATGGAACGTCTTTCCTTGTAAGGCTTAGCTTGTTCGCAACATCCACTAGGGAGGAGAGGCTGAGTTCGTTATCAACACTTTCTTTGCCAAGCTGTAATAGATAAGTCGCCATACAATAGCCGGTCATAAACGCATCGAAACCTGCTCTGTGGCCACAGTCACGTGTCTTGACGCCGTTGGATTGACTCACGTGAGCATCACGCAGATACGTCACGTGAGTGTCCTGTTTATCACGTGCACCCACTACCTCCGAAGTGTCTGTTTGGGGCGAATTTTCAGTACCATGTGTTTTAGTTACATCGCATTCATTATTACCTAAAATGAATAAAACAGTTGCTAAATAATTAAACTTCGTGTGATTCAGATTGGGAGACGTTGTGACCTTACAGTTAGGGTTCTGAACTCCGGTCGAGAGTCATTGTGTTGTTTACCCTCCACCCAGATGAAATTAGTACCAACAAAATGTCCGGAAAAAAACTGTGAGCGGGACGCGCGTTTCTCCGCCCACGGGAACATTTGAGACGAGTCGTGGAGAGGTTTGCCGGGGGTCCACCACTAGATAACAGTGCTGGACCGCTTGCAGACCTCTCGCTGGCTCACGTAACTCAAGGTCTATACTTTGCGGCGGTAGAAGAAACGCTTGTGCTGAAGCGCTGATAATGAGGGAAACCTGAGGAAATTATGGAGGGGGTTGTCTGCGATTGACTGGTATATTCTATACAGGAGAGTGAAGGAATATTCCGAGTCGCTTTATGTCAAGGAAATCTGGTTAAGCGTAAGGGGATGAGCCATTTAGCTCGAGTGCTGACTTTGTATCTTGATTCACATTTAACCTTACATTCTTACAAATCCAACCCTTGTAAGCAAGAGTTTACCGCCTGGGATTTGAATCTTCGCTAGGGACTTAAGGATTGAAAGGTGAAATTTTTCTTGCAGCTCCTAAACTCACCAGAATTGTGACGTTTTCGTTTTCGTTTCAGCCTCTTGGTTTCTTTCACTCTCCACTCACGATCTAAAACATCATCGACGTCGTGTGAAAATGAACAGGATTTTTCCCGAGGACAAAATCCGTAAGCCTGTACGGACAAAGCGAAACGCAAAAAAACTGACTGTAGAGATTTTAAAGAAGCTAATAGGAAAGACTTTACTTTAATGTTGGAGAGAACAAAACGGTAGCATATTTTGCACATGCTTCCTGTTTGAAACGAAAGGTCGCAGCGAATCGTCCGCAGGGTCCTCCCTTCTTTCGGTTAGTTAGTTGGGGGAAAGAGTGAGGAAAAACGAGTGACCCTGAGGACGAGAATAGGAGCGAGCGTGAAAATAAGATTCGGTTTGGTTAACCCTTTAACCCCTGAGAGTTACTAGCATCTAATTTCTCCTTACAATTTCGCCCCTGAATAAAACATTAACGTTACAAGAATTGAGGAAATGATCACCAACTAAAGAAGTTGTGAATCGTTAAACAAATTCTCCTCGTCAGCACCTTTGGAAATTTGTAGAGAACAGTATGGAGAATATGCATACTGATGTAAGGGTGTAAAGGGGATTAAAGCTGATCGAGAGTCGGTAATGAGCACATCTTGATTGAGGGTTGTAAAACCAACACCAAATTAAGCCGTGAGCCAATCAGATAGATGTCACAAGGAGCCTATTAGAACTTAGGTGTCTAGAGCACGAGAAAATGCGGGGAAACAAGTCGCGACTGGTTTGAGGTTTACACGTTCTTGGTTGAGAGAGAGATGCAAGTTTTTCTGGGCCGATCACTGAGCGAAATAAACCAAGCTCATTTCAAAATTGCTTCCAAGAGACGTCTCCGTCTGTGGCTCCTTTGATTCTTTTCATTTTGCAAAATCGCTCTCTAGGTCCTCTGGCCGCACGAGTGAGCTCATAGCCATGTATGCAGATCATTTGAGAGGTACAACTTTGGAGAGGCACAACTTTGGAGAGGCATAACTTTGGAGAGGCATGGAACTAAACATTCAACGGTTTACAACTCAAAAATAATGGCCACCACTAAGGCGGCTGAAACTCTAAGAGCATTCCTTCACAGAAACAACATCAGCCGCACGATTAGAGCTGACAAGAACCATTATGCAAAGCTTACCGCAAATTTCTCGCAGACCATGACGTCAACATTAACAGCCTCGCTTTCATCACGTGCCCCACAATAGATGTGCTCAGTGAAACTTGATAGTGAGGCTTCTTCGCGAAATTTTGGACAAACATACTTTCTTCCTTGGTTTTGATGATGAATGTTGGTCCTTTGGCTAAATAAAGAACAAACACTTGCTATTAGCTCAACCTTAAGATAGGTTATACTGGATGTAAGTACGTCGTGGTTCCATCTTTTTCTTGGTCTGGAATTCTTCAAGTAAAATTTACCGTAATTTTCTTTGCCTTGTATTCATTACCTAAGTTCAAAAGGGTTCTGCAGACCTCTTTTTGTAATTTTATTTCTTAAGCACAATTTAGATTACAAAATTCACCCTTTCTTTGTTTGAAAGATCAAAGCTGTTCTCTCAGGGGATCACTGGGAGTGCCTGAAGGCTCTTGTCTAATAAATCTCAAGTGCCCAGCTCATGAAAGCTTCATGAAAGAAAAGCTAAACTACCCACCCAAAGACAAAAATCTGTGGCCTTAAAGGAAGTAAGCTCTGCAAGAGCAGAGTGTTGTTTAGGACTTTCAGTTAAAGCATTTTCCTAGCAGTTGTGTCAAAGTGATGTTAAATAACTGCCCCTTAGTTTCTAAGAATAAACAAGAGTACTGCAGAAGTGAACACAAATTGCATGATGTTATACACCTTTAAACCCTTAGTGACCAGCATCTAATTTCTCCCAACAGTAATACTACAGAATCATTGAACAAGATCATAAGAACAGAGGAAATGATCACCAACCAAAGACACTTTGATTGTTTGACAAATTCTCCTTGACTTGGAATAAAAAAAATTTCTCACAAACCCACCATTTTTTGAAAATATAGAGCAAGAATGACGCAGGTTCCCTCATGCTGTACTCTGACACAAACTTGGTATCAAATACACCAGCTGGAAACATTTCTGCTAAATCTGCGGTAAACACTTGCAGTTTGTCAGGCAACTTGCAGTAGAGGTTCTCGTACAAAAACACCAAATCTAAAAAACCATTGTGAACAACCATAGGTTTATTGGCCAGAATAAGTTGATTGAAGAGATTTCTCACAGAGTACTGTGGTGTGCCAGATTTTACCTGAAGGATAAACAAAAACAGTACTTTAGTTTATGAGGAGACTATAGAGGCTTTTGGAAAATTAGGGAAAATATATGATATTTTTTGTGCTCTGTGGTAATTGGCTGTTGTGGTCAGTTGTTCTAAATTCTGAAGATCTGGGAGGTTGTTGAACAAATGCAACTTCTGGGCTATAATATCAAAAGAATAATAAAACTTCTGCTTTTTTGAAATTAAGTTTCTTAATACAAGCACCATCTTGACAGAATGGGGAATGAGTAACATTGTAATTCCATTAAATTTTCTCTAACACTCATTCAATGGTTTTACATCACATTTGTTTGTTTGCTTAATCATTTGTTTCTTAGCTTTGATGAACTACTGTTTTAAATTCTGGTCCTAACACCACCACAGTATGGTCTTATAATTATGGCACAGTCTGTGCTTGAGCCAAGTAGCCCATTGAGCTCGAGCTTATCCCAGTTTCTGTCCAATGAAGTGACTAAGGGTATAAGTACTCCCCCCTGAATGGGTAGCCAGTCCATCCCAAAGTTACTCCCCTGGCATTTCATCAAGTTCTCATTTCTACTCCTGGGTGCAGAGAGGCGCTGTGAAAGTAAAGCATTTTGCCCAAGAACACAACACATTGACTTCCCCAGGTCTTAAACTTATTGACCCTGAATCCAGCACACTAACCAAGCCTCCCACTCCTATAAGTATTGGTAATAACATGACTTCAAGTGCAATTTGGCGTTTATAAGCACATGTCAATTTTTCAAAGACAACAAATTGCACAAGCCAGTAGGGCAAGTGCAATTTGTAGTCTTTGAAAACTTTACAAGTGCTTATTACACCAAATTGCAAGAGAACACATATTATTACTTGTTAACAATTTATAGAAAAAACATCACAGAAAGTCAACACAGACAAAATTTTGAAAATGTGCACATGCTATTTGTAATTTGCACTTTAGTTACAACTTTGCACTAGTGTTATGTGAGAATGCGCTTGTTTTCAGCCAATCAGAAGCACTTAATTTTTTCATGTACATTATTATTAAGGCAACATTCAAACCAGTTTTACCTGTAATTTATCATCTCCTCTTGAATATGGAACTCCTCTGGCATACTGTTTGTTGAAGTCAAAGCCATGTCCGACCAAAAATGTCAAAGACATTGGTTCTACCACAAAGTTTTCAGTGCAAAGGACAACAATGTTAAATGTCTTGATCCTGATGTTCAGTTTTGTTCCAGATTCTTTGCATTCTGTTTCATAATTCATCTTTTTCTTCTTCAATTTGAAACAAGAAATGCCAAGAGAGAGAATGGCCCTGGATTGTGCCACTTCACACATGTATTTATACCGGTCCTCGACAAATCTGGAGAATAAGACATACAATTTTGTTAACCCTGTCACTCCCACAAGTGACCAAAGCAGAATTTCTCTTCACAATATCAATACAATATCAAGCAAGTAGGTAATGAGAATAAAGAAAAATATTAATTAAGGCATAATTAGTTGATCCAATACCAAATTCTCAGAACTAACATTATAGGAATTATATGGCAGGCAGTAAGGAGAATTACTAATGTGATCTTGGGAGTGAAAGGGTTAACCCTTGACAAACTAACATTAGTATTTGTATTCTCCATACTGTTCTCTCTACATTCCTGTGGTTATGACAAGGAGAATTTGTTTGACAATCAGAAGCTTCTTAAATTGGTGATCATTTCCTTTATTCTCATGGCCTTTACATTTAATTCAAGGGTGATATTGTATGGAGAAATTAGAAGCCAGACACACTTTGAGGTTAAAGGGTTAAACCTTTGCACTTAGCAACTGATACATACTACCTATCAGCTGCCAAACAATTCATCATACATTGTAATAGTTTTTATATATTTGAGCATTTAATTTTATCATTGATTTGGTGTATTCCATATTTATTAATCTCATAAGTTCCTTTGTAAAAACCCTATTGGTATGAAAAAGTTATCTCAATAAACATTACTATTATTATTATTTAAACAATAGAAAGTACATAAGGAATAAATAATAATTATAAACCCAGGTAGTGAGCCACTTGAGATCTTTTGAATAGCAGGTAGAGAGTTCCAAAAGCAACATTCCGCAAATTTTAGTGAACCAAGACTGTATGGTATAGTATTGAAAAAAACCCCAATCAAGTCAAATATTAAATAAAATTGGAGATAAGTTATGATTAAATAGAAATGAATAGCAATCAAAAAGCCAATTATTCAGACAGTTATAGAGACTAAAAAGTAGACAATGATATCAGAACATTGTTGCTTACTGTGTCATTAGATTCTTTCTCTCACCAATTCCACTCATCTCCTACAAGAAAAAAAATCCACAGATGCATTTATTTTCCAAAACATTACTCAAATTTGGGCTTCTCTCTAACCCTTTAACCCATAAAGAGTGACTAGCGTCTAATTTCTCCCCACAATATCACCCCTGGATCAAACATTAAGGTCACGAGAATGAAGGAAGTGATCACCAACAAAAGAAGCTCTTGATTGTTAAACAAATTCTCCATGTCAGTACCAGGAAATATATAGATAACAGTATGGATAACATGAAGACTGGTGCTAGGGTGTACAGGGTTAAAGATTACACTACTGAAATTCGATTAAAATGGAAATACAGTTGTAATTATACTCTTCTTCCCAAACATTTTCCAAATCAAGGTGGTACGTTTAGAAAACCATTGAGAAGAAATTTCTTTCGAAAATGCTCACTCACGTACCGTGTCCAGTGCCACAAATGAAGATTTTTTTATTGCACGAACCATAAAAGGCCATAATTCTGCAAAATTGTCCGCTGAAACTTCGACCACAGGAACGTTCTCAAAACGTGCTGACATTTTTCTCGAGAAACACCAAAACCACCAGGCGTTATTGGCGAGTGCTCTGGTAAGACCTGGGGCGAGCAATGTTCACGTGTCGAAGGAACAAAGATGGCGGTTCGCAATCACCAAGCGAAGTCTGCATGAAAAAAGCTAGTTATCTCATAAAATACTCGTCGAAGCTAAATTTAAAAGACCAGAGAACATTTTTAGGACATTTGAGAACCTTTTAAATTGTTCGTCAGAGATTTAACGGCAGGAGTTGACCGATAAAATGAAGTTGACAGCAGATCTTATACTGCAAAGTCCGCAGTACACAAATGCATTAAGAGATAGAGAACTGGATTTGCGGGGTAAGTAAACATTTATTCTGCGGTTTGAATAAAAAAAATTATTTAGGAATTTTATTTTGAAACGAGTGTTGCTTTGGACGAAGTTATTGGAAATCTAGTGTATTGTTTGTTATTTGGAGATGCTTGCAGTACATATTTCCTATTTGTTGACCATCTTGCATTATTTTCTACATTGTCTTGTCTTTTACACTGTAGGTTATAAAATCCCCGTGATTGAAAATCTTGGAGCGACTTTGGTAAGTTTTTCTGTTTCCATTACTCGATTATTTCGCTAAATGCTTCAGAAAAATTGGAAGATAAATGATAGTAGCAACGGACCAACTTCTAAATGATGCTAATCTTAAGTAACAGTCTTCAGTCATAAAAAATATGTTGAATATAAATAATTTAGGATTCATTGTTTGCATTTTGACTCCTTAAACCATAAGAGTGACCGGCATGTAATTTCTCTTGACTGTAATATAGCAGATCATGGAGCAACTTCAGAATACCCCGCAACTCATTTACATGTCATTGAATAAGAATAGCGTCTATTGTGTTATGCCTCGATCTTCAAAGCCTCCCGACACATGTAAGTGAGGCGGACCAAAGTTGCGGGGTATTCTGAAGTTTAGCCCAGATTGTTCATAAAGATCATGAGAATGAAGTAAATGATTGCTAACCTAAGAAGCGTTGATTCTTAAATGAATTCTCCTTGTCTGTACTAAACAAAATGTATAGAGAAGGATATGGAGAATATCTACACTGATCTTAGGGTGTGAAGGGTTATGATCCTACATGCCAAGCTTGTATTCCTGATGACTGCAATAATGTCTTAAACCTTTAACTCCAAGATCTGACTGTCGATTCTCCCATCTAGCTTTTGCACATTTCCTTGTAAATTAGTCAAAAGAATTTTGAGTTAAACCAAGATAACAAATTCTACTTGATAAGTTTGAATATTCTCATTATGTGTTTGCTATATAATGTTTGGATATTATAGAGAGAAGTTACTTGTTATCAGCTCCTGAAGGTAATGGGGTAACTGTTGTTTAATTGATTTTAGGACCAGTTTGATACCATTGATATGTCAGAGAATGACATCCGCAAACTGGAGGGATTTGCATTACTCAAGAGATTGAAAAGCCTCCTTTTAAACAACAACAGAATATGGTATGTTTCAATGATTCATCCTAGACATTTCTTTTGCACAGACAGACACATGTGTGCATATGCTATATGACTAGCATTTTCTTCCAGAAATTTCATTAAGAATCCATTGAAATTCATGCTTGAAAACAATTTTGGGCCTTTTGATCGACTTATATTGTTCAATATGTCCACCATTGCTTTATTTGTCATTGTTTTTGTGTTTCTGCTATGACAATTTATTGTCAAAAATTTGATTTTGTGGTATTTGTTAAACTTGTCTAGGTTAAAACATTTTTATAAAAAGTGTTCTTCCTGATTTTTTACAATATCTTTCTCAACTTTTAAACATATTCTAGATGATAGCATCTTGTATTTGTACCAGACTTAAAAGTATTGTCACTTTTAAATTACAGGTAGCCACCTTTAAAATTGACAATTTTTAATTGTGTATGATTTCTTCATGGAGTCATTTGTTTGTTTATGTGGTCATTTGTTTATGTAGTTTGTAAGTGCTATATAGAAATTTGTGTGTCAGTAAATCCATGTGATATTAAACTGTTAGGGCTGGTTATTTGCACGAGTCCAACCCAAATCATGGTTTTAAGTAATTAGTGGGTCTCAGGCTTTCTCTTTAAGTGAGTCGATTTAACTAAAGGGAAGTCCATCCAGTGTTAGCTTTCAGCTCTCTTGACACTGTTCACAAAAATAAATGTTCAGACAAAAGATTCAGCAAAATTGAGGATTGTTTAGGAAGCACTTTTGTTAAACAAAGGCAAAACTTTGTTTTAATAGCCAACCCCTAGCATAAAATATGGTAATTTGCATGACAAAAATGTTGTGCAGTGGTGTTTTATGCAGTATCTAACACTTTTAAATATATATATCCCATTGAAAATTGGTAAGTGCAGTGGACAATCTATGGAGAGAGGTAAGCTGATACTGTACTGTAAATTGTCTTTGGAGTTTGGAAGGCGTCACCCAGATTCTCAGACATCCTTAACTACTGTGTACATGTATCTAATTAGTTTAGTAGCATTTTGATGCTCAAAGAAGATACAAAGAAGGTGTCATTTAGAGCAGAAGACTCATTCTTCAAAAATTCTATTACCTGTGTGAAAAGAATTAATAACTATTCTTTTTTAGCCTGTTACCCTCTAAATGAATTTTGATACATTTTGGTTTTTTTTTCCTTTTTTGAGGCTTTTTAATTATATTGTTATTCTTCCTCAAGTTTTTTACCAGGGTCATAGTCAGACAGAAATTGTAACTTTTTTGGTTCATCATTTAGACAAGTTTTTAAAGCTGTGAAATGTAAACTACTGCAATATTTTATTGTTACCAAGAGCTACTGAAAAAATAGCTTCAACAAGACATAAATATATTTGAAAGCTTGACCCCTTTGTTCTCGCATGTATGAAGCAAATCATGATTTTTTTGTCATTATTGTCCTGTATCGTCTTTGACTAATATTATCATTAATAATAAATTTTACAATAAATATTATCATCATCATTGCCTCGTTTTTTTTTTTGACATATATCTCTCTCTTCTAACACTATTCATGTTGCTTTCAGTCGTATTGCAGAACATTTAGAGGAGAGTCTACCCAACTTAGAAACTATTGTAATGACATCAAATAACATGCAAGAATTGGTATGTCTTACTTAGTCTTTGTTTTCAGTTTTAATTCATCTTTTATTTTTATTTAATTTGTATTTTTTTCTATTTTATTTATTTTTCCTTGACAATATTTTGGTTGCATGGTTATTGTCTGGATTGTCACAATTCTTGTTTACTTGTGTAATTTCATTCTCTTCATTCATTTTGATCTGTAGAAAGACCTGGATCCATTGAAGTCTGTTAAAAGTCTCCAGTACCTCAGGTACATGTTGCATATTTATCTAACCCTTTCTTTAGAACATTTCCCCCTGTTCTCCCTGATTTTAAGCACAACAAATTAAGGAAATGATGAAACCAGTAGAAAAATTGTTGTACCTGTTGAAATCTCAAGAATTCCAAACAATTCTTAGCGGCAATAAGAGGGTACTACATGCATTTACCAGTTATTGTCTGAAAAGGAAAACACTGCTCACCATAATTTCTTTTGTCACTCTGTTGAATACTTTTCAGCCACTGGTTTTTTAACTCTTTTTTTCTCCTTGCTAAGAGATAAGATGCAGGTGTTAATTCTGTGTACTTTATCTCAGAACTTGTAACTGAATGTTAAAAATCTCTTGGTATCTTCTTTTTCAGTTTGCTTCGAAACCCAGTAACTAACAAACCTCACTACAGATTATATGTCATCAACAAATTGCCGCAGCTAAGAGTGTTGGACTTTCAGAGAATAAAACAACGGGTAATAAAAAAAGATTGTTTGATTTAGCATCTTTTTGACCTAATGACTAGCATCTAATTTCTCCTTACATTATGACCCTTAAATCACCTATTAAGGCAACACCAACAAATGAAATGATCACTAACTAAAGAAAGTATTGATTGTTAAACAAATTCTCCTTGTCAGCACCTTTGGAATTGTATGGAAAACAGTGAGGAGAATATGCATACTGATGTTAGGGTGTGAGGGGTTAATCCAATATACTTTCTTTCTTTGTTGCTAGAGATGATAAAGGTTTTACCATTGGCCAGTATTAGTTATTGCTGCTGTAAGAATAAAAATTGTTTTGCT